AAAGCCAAGAGTTCTGGAGTGTGGAGGGGCACAACCACAGCTCCCACCTGAAGGGACACAGAGCTGCTTCACAAGGCTTTTCCCAAAACAGGAAAGCAAGTGGAAGCCTTCCCACTGGCTCCTGCTCATCCCATAACCACACGGCCTGGCCTGTGAGCAGGAGTTTGATCACACAATCTTTCATTTTGGTGATTCTGAGTTTCAGAGAGAAGTGACAGAATTTATACCCAGCTCAGCTGACAGCAAACGTCCCTCATCTGAAGGATAGAAAGGGAAGAAGCCTTTTTATGATTCATGGGATCTGTTCCACCTACACATGCAAATCCCACAAGCCATGGCACAGGTCCAGTTCTTCCTGAGCCACATCCTCCTTCAGTCTAGACCTGTTTGTAGTGCTCAGGGCTCTCAGGGGCTCCTCAGGGCCTGTCCAAGCACTTGGGATGGAGAAAATAAACCCTCTGCAGCCCAATGAGCCCTGCACAGCAAAAAACACCAGAAATCCTGTGCATGGACACATGGCACCCCTCCAGTGTTGTCTGGGTTGTAAGTCTTGTCATACAACAACTCTGCTGCTGTGAAGCTGCAGCTTTGCAGTCTGGGGAGTTATCAGGGAGTTTTGGCAACAAACAACAGACCCAGCTGCTCCCAGGGGTGTCTGACCCAAGCACTGCTGGGCAGCAGGGAAGGGCCAGGCTGTGTTCCTCCCCTGGCCTGTCCCTGCAGCCAGGACCCTGCCACCTGCAATCTCCCCACACCAGCTCCTGCCAGCCACGCCTTTTACTGACCCTCTTGAAAACGGATGTGGGAAGCTATGGAAAAAACCCACACCCTAATGGTATGCTACAAAAACCCATGGAACTCGGGAAAGCTGATGCCACCTGTGCATGCAGCACCTCCCCGAACTCCAGGCAGGAACTACCCCTGTTTGCCTCTCACAGGGAGCTCCAAGAGAGAACTCCTGCTTTGTTCCAAGGCACAAGAGACCATCAAGAAGCTCATCACAGGGTGACAGAGCAGAATTCCCAGGAACTCAAGTTTTCTCTCTTTCTTTTTAATCACAAGACACCAAGGTCATGGTCCCACATTTGCTCCTAACAGCAAACATATCCCATTCCACACCCAGGGGAGAGACGGGAGAGCCAAGAGTTTGGGCTTGACTCCAGAGATCCCTGAGCCAAGGGGAAGCTGCTGCAGAAACTGGAGTTGCCTCAGCACTGGGAAAGGCACTTGATTTATGTGACCACAAGGCAAAAAACCTCAGCTAAGGACAAAGGAGCACAAAGCAGAACTGACACTGAGAACCTCCAGAGCAACACCTTTCAAACCCGTTTTCCATGAAATAAGCCTGGATTTGTTGTGATCACTTGATACCCTGGGAATTACCAGTGCTGGGGTTTTATTTGAGCTCCTGCATTTCATAAATGGACTATGATCACTGGTAAAAAGCAGTTTAGTCAAACAGACTTGCCAAGTTCTGTTTCGAGACAAAAAAAAAATTATTCAAGTCTTTTTTGGCTGGACACTTTATATCTGCTCCCATTTTTGGTGACAGATCTTTATTCTCTAAAACAAAGCTTTATTCTCTCAGAGAAGTACAGTCACTTAAACACAGCCACTTAAAAGGGGTTTTTTTAGAGAAAGGTTAGAATTGTTGCCCCTGAGAAAAGACAGTGGCTCACATGGGAGGAAAAAGGCCAGTGACTGCTTTTTGATAAAATCCTGCTATTCTGGCCTCTTAGGGTACAACAAACATTTCAAACACAAGAGAGGGGATGGTCAAAATCCATGAGCTCACAGGGCCTTAACTGGCAGCCTCTGGAACAAAGAAGGAAGACCCAGGGCACACGCTGCAGGCGATGAACAGTGAATTCAACCTGTGGGGTCTCCCTGGCACGTTCCTCCTGCTGCCTTCCCTGTGCAATGTCCCACTCCCAGAGCACCCAAACCCCAGGCAGATCTATGGGGAACACCCCGTGCTCAGCAGGCACGTACAGCCCAACAGACCCTGTTTTATCCTGTGCATCCAGGGGCCCTGGCTCCCAGGAAACCATCCTACACCCCCATAGCACCTGCACCTTCTGTCCCAGTGTCCTACAGTAACACGTCACAGAGTTCCACAAAAACACACAGGTCTTGTACCTCTTGTCACAGAGCCCAGAAACTGGAGCACAGAATCCCTGAGGTTGGAAAAGCCCTCCCAGCCCATGGATCCCACCCTGTGCCCCATCCCCACCCTGTCCCCCAGCCCAGAGCACTGAGTGCCACGGCCAGGCCTTCCTGGGACACCTCCAGGGCTGGGCACTCCAAACCTCCCTGGGCAGCCCCTGCCAATGTTTAACAACCCTTTCCAGGGAGAAACACTTCCTGAATTCTTCCTGACAGCTTACCTGAACCCCACCAGGGCAGTTCTACACCTGCAGGCAGTTACACTAGCACACCAAACAAGCTGATTGCCCTTCTGCAGAGAGAAGGGGAAGTGTCTTGGCTAAAACCCAACTGCTTTAGAATCACTGAATCACTGAGGTTGGAGAACACCTTTAAGATCGTGGAGTCCCTTCCATACCTAATTGGGCTTTTTATTCCAATCTCAGGGGGAAAAAAAAATGTGCTGAACACACAAAGGGCTTAATTTCAATGGTTCTGTAGGAAACTTTAATACAAACTTAATCATTTTGAGGGAGTCTAACTCTGGAATGGGGCACGCAAGTATTCAGCTTTTTCTGACAATTAAATGCATTTTTTATGCAGCTCATCCTCTGTGTGATATAAAGGGCCAAAAAACCAAACCCAGCCAGCAATAACCCTGAGAGTGTGGCATTTCCACAAATCCCACTGTGAGAACAGTGTTCGAGGAGCGCAGTGATGACCTGCATGCAAAAACACCCCACACTCACCCTCAGCAGGAGAACTCGTGTGCTGAGCCCTGGGAAGCTCTGGAGACGGTTATGAAAGAGGAATAGTGAAAGTCGAGGCACTCACTCATCCTCCACAACAAAGAGATCCCCAGGCCACCCCCACTGAAAGGACCAGCTGAGTTTTGTAGGAGCTTGGCTGCTCTAAGCCAAGCGAAATGACACGTTATGTCAGCAGCAGGACTTTTTTTCCCCAAGTACACGCTGGCAGCATAAAAATCAGAGTGTGCTGTGCCAGGCATTCCGAGAGGCGAGCTCAGGGTGCCACCGAACAGCACACGGGTTTCATTTCCCCTGAAACTGCAGCTTTACGGCTCTGTCTGGGTTTTTTTGACTGATCACAAAAGATCAAATAACCTCAGCAGAGACAGAAAGCTCAAGAAACAACAAGCAAATTTAAAACAGCCTTATGGAGAAGAGCGAGCTCGGGGGGTGTTCATTGTTCGCACACACCCCGGACGTTTCCAGCCGGCTTTGGGGGTGTTTTCAGAAACCCGAGCGCACTGCAGTTGTCCCACAGCACCAGCCCAGCGCCTCAGGGCCCCGTTTCAGGAGCAGAGGCTGCGGGGACACCTTGGGCGGGGGAGGTCTGACAGAGCCGCCCCAGGGCAGCGGGGACCCCCCCCTTACCTTGCCGTCCTCGCAGCGCTTCACCTGGCCGTCCCTGGCCTGCAGCTGGCTGCTCAGGTGGCTGTAGTCCGCCTCCTTCTGCTCCAGCTGCTTCCTGTGCGAGTCCACCTTGCCCAGCAGGTCGGAGTTGCGGCGCTCCAGGCGGCCCCGCGCCACCTCCGTGCGCTGGGCCTGGCTCTGCAGCTCGGCCAGCTCCTCCCGCAGCAGGGCCTGGCGGGACGCCGCGTTCCAGCAGTGGAAGGCGAGCACGGCGATCACGGCCAGCAGCGCCACCAGCACCAGCGAGGGCAGGCGGCCGCCCCGGCGGTTCGCCCCGAACCCCACCATGGGGGAGGCCGAGGGGGCGGCGGCGTCCGGGCACCGGGGGGGCCGCGCGGGGGCCCTGAGGGGACCGGGGGCGAGGGGGAAAGGGGGGACCCCCGGGGGGGCGCTGAGGGCGGCGGGGAAGGGCAGCCGGCGAGGCCGGTGCTGTGCTCGAGGGGCGCGGAGCGGGTGGCGGCGGAGCCGGTGGCGGTTCCGTCCGGGCCGGGAGGGACCGAGTGCGGGCTCCGCGCACGGACCGAGCTGGGCCCGCCCGGCTCAGCCGCCACCGCGGCGCCCCGCCCGCCGCTCTCGCGAGAGGAGCTCGCGCAGCTCTCGCGAGAGCGCGGCCCCGCCGTGCCCTGAGGGCGGGTGGGGCTGTGGGGGCGTCACAGCCCGGGGCGGGCGGGAGGGGACGTGGGGACAGTGAGGGACAGCGGGGGAGGTTAAAGAACGTTAAAGCTCATCCAGTCCAAACCCCTGCCATGGGACACCTTCCACTAGCCCAGGTGGCTCCAAGCCCCGTCCAACCTGGCCTTGGACACTTCCAGGGATCCAGGGGCAGCCACAGCTTCTCTGGGCAACCTGTGCCAGGGCCTGCCCACCCTCACAGGGAAGGATTCCTTACCAATATCCCATCTGTCCCTGCCCTCTGGCAGTGGGAAGACATTCCTTGTGTCCTGTCCCTCCATCCCTTGTCCCCAGTCCCTCTCCAGCTCTCCTGGAGCCCCTTTAGGCCCTGGAAGGGGCTCTCAGGTTTCCCTGGAGCCTTCTCTCCTCCAGGTGAACATTCCCAGCCCCTCCGGAGCAGAGGGGCTCCAGCCCTGGGAGCCTCTCTGAACTCACTCCAGCAGCTCCACGTCCATGTGCTGGGACAGGAACCGGGTGGGCTGTTCACTCCTCACCTGGAAGGTGTTTCCTGAGGGAACACAGCATGTCCTGGGAATGAAGGGAAGGGATGAGTCTTTTGTTTTGTGAGAAACACTCATATACATCGTTTATTGCTGATCATGTTGCCTCACACACTGTTACTGGTGCTGTGGCACAGGGGCTCCCAGGGGAAAAGGGACACAGAGCTGGGCTGAAACCAGAACCAGCTCCAAGCCTCGGGACGTGCTGCAGCCGCTCCCTCGGTGTGAGGGGAGACAAACCACAGCAAAGTCAGGCCTCCGAGTGGTCACTGACACAGACACCTTGGGATCTGTTGGGTTTATTCCCTGTGATGGTATTTAGTAGCAGTTCTGCTGCACTGCTGTGGTCAAGCCCTTCACACAGCAGAGGTTCTCAGGGAGCTCCTGGGCACAGCACGTGCACAGCACAATCCTGCTGCCTCCAGCTGCAAATGGTCTGAGGAGGACATGGGAGGAACAGAAGGGCATCAGTTTTCCTCCTAAAAGAACAAAAAAACAGCATTTAAGAAATGGAGTATAAAATCCATTCCTGAGGCACACCATACATTGTGCAGAACGTCAGCTGGGACAAAGGTGTCACGGCATGTACATCCCTGATCCCAGCCTCACATCCCACTATTTGCACTTTGGCACTTTAAGTGCTGCTACACTGATGGCCCATTAATTTGCCAACCTGCTCTCTGCAGATGGCAGTGCAGATTCACATTCCAAATCCAGCGTCGCAAATATTACCTCCTTGTGAAGCTGGACAGTTCCAGGGTTTGAATCCACCTTGTTCGGTTTGTTCTTTCTGGCTGTGCCATCCTGAACACTCTGAGCCAGGAAATGTTTGCTAATTAACGGAAATAAAATATAAACGTGACAGATTTGAGCTCAGAATGATAGCTGGGTTTATTTTATGTGACTTACACCTGGGTTTCACATGCTTTGGTTTCGTACCAACCTGTACGCCTGCTCAGAAATCTCCTGTTTTCATGGAGTGCTCAGTGATGTTTCCCACTCTCCCATTTCAGCCATTTCTCTTGGAATTTATGTAATTTCCCAGCTCCTCGAAGTTCAGGGTCAGAACTGGTCCCTGCACATTTGTTGTGGTTTCCTTTGCACATCTGGGAGCTGAGGGAATACCAGGGAGTTTTCTTTTTGCAATTAATTTGCCATTTAATTTCGGCTGTGTTCCAGGCCCCATGATCCTGTCCCAGTCTGTTCTTTTCCCAGTTGGAAAGATATTGCTGTTCCCTCTTCCTGGCTGTAATCTTGCACTGTATGTTGGAATAACATATCCCATGGCATCTCCAGCTCAACCTCTGACCAGGATTTTGGCCGGTCCTTGGTTTCTCTGGCTTGTGACCTCCCCACATTACAGTGGGAATGGGGAGATCCTCTCCTGCAGCATTCAGTGCTTCATCCTGAAACACAGTGCAAGAATTAAGTTTTAATCCTTGGACCTATCATGGAGAAAGTGAAGAATGCAAAGAAGAATGTGTATTTGGGACTGTGTCAAAATCTTGCAGATTTTTCTATGTATCTTTTCTATTTGTCTGCTGCTGATAATATAGTCAATGACTATTTGACAGAAGAAGAGTAATAAAATAGCAAACTCTTATATTCATTAAGATAATCAAGAAGAAATAATGCAGTCAGCATTTATGGATTTTTTTTTTTGTACATCACAGAGAAGAAAAACTGATTTAATGGAATTAATTTTCTGTTACCAGGGTGTCACAGAAATGTGCAGAGGTTTGACAGTATGAAGTTATAGTGGTTCTGGAAGGTGTTACCATCACCCAAGGAAGAATGGTTAAAAGCGGTGGTAACTGCAGAGGAATGCAAGCAGCAGGATGAGAGCCCTTGTCAAGGGAGAAAACATGCCAAACTGCCTCAAAAACTGAGAACCTGCTGGTTCAACCCTGGTGCTGTCACAGCCCAGGACGGGGCAGCCTCCTTGCTTGGTTTGCTGGGGAAATCCATAACACACATTTGATTTTCTTCTTCCCTTCAGACATTGCACTTTGCAAAGAAATTGCTGATTATTTACTTCCTTTTTTTTTTTACCTGCTGTGAAGATGGAAAGTTTAGGAGCCCCACATGTGGTATTTTTAGAACCAGTGCTGTATTGTTGCTGCCCTGGCACTTTTATCAGTTAAAGCAATAAAACATCTGAGTTGTTGTTCTAGTCAAGTATTTTGATCCCTTCAGAATCTGAAGCAGGTTTCTAAATGAAAGATAAATTTAACTATGTTTATTTTTCATGCCTAATTTAACTCAAATACAAGAAGACAGTCTGATTTAATAATCTATTCAGCATTACAGAAAATTGGTGATTTTAAAAGCCTCTAATTAAATATTCTAAGATCCTGTTTCCTTCCACTGCATCAGAATGAACCTTTTTTTTTTTATGTATTACAAGTTTGTGTTTTTTGCAAACATTCTGAACACAGAACTCAAATTATCCCAGACTTTTAGCATATCCTTAAAAACTGATTAACATACCCCATCTGTTGGTATGCTGAGCAACTGTCCAAATGAGCAACATTTCCATGGAGATTTATAAAACTACAGTTAAAGCAGGAAAACAGCTCTAGCAGGGGAGTGCTGGGGTGTTTTACTTCAATATGATTGTTGCAGCTGGAGATTGTCTTGCAGAGTGGCCACCACGTCCTCACTTCAGAGTGGTGTCTGTTCACATTTTGGGTCAGTAAACATAGTTCATTTCCCTTGCAGCACATTCCATGAGTGCCCAGGGGTGGCCATTTCCCAGGGAACAAGGAGTAGGACAATAGGAAACAGCCTCCAGCTGTGCCAGGGGGGGTTCAGGTTGGACATCAGGAGGAATTTCTCCCTGGAAAGGGTGGTGAGGCCTTGGCAGGGGCTGCCCAGGGAGGTTTGGAGTGCCCAGCCCTGGAGGTGTCCCAGGAAGGCCTGGCCATGGCACTCAGTGCTCTGGGCTGGTTCAGAAGCATCTCTTTCCCATCTCTAATAAAGTGTAACTTTGGCTGCAGGAGCCAATTGAGGCCTGTTGACTTCCAAGGCAAATGTTTGCTGTATCTCTGAAGGGTGAGGGTGGCACTGGAGCAGCTGGAGAAGGAGATGAATGGAATCAGTTCTGGGTTTTAGAGCTGAAATGGGGTTATGTTTATTTATGGCCACCTGAGGTTTGGAAATCTTTCTGAGAATAAGTGCTTTGGAGTGAGGTATCAGAATCAATCTCTTAGAGCATGTTGCTTTATGAAAACAGACCAGGGAACATCTGGGATCGACTCACCAAATGCCAGCCCAAAGAGCAGACCTGTATCCAGGGAACTGGGATTGGCTTGAAGCTGCATCCCAGGCCGGGAGCAGGGAGCACATCTGTTCCTGGGAAGCAGCTGGGGAGGCGCAGTGCAGAGTTTGGCATTTTGGAAAAAGGTGCTTTCTCTCGATAGCGTTTCACAGAAGAAAGTTTGTTTTCTCTTTTAATAGCAGCTCCAAGGGGCTGGTGGGATTCCTGAAACAGCAAATGACATTTCCAGCAGGGATAAAAGCACAGCTGTTGGCAGGAGCTCCCGTAGGTTATTGTGGATAATCACTGAAAAGGCAGAGCATTGATTGGGACTGCTGATGGCAGGGAACTGTCCGTGTGGGAATGCAGAGTGAGTGCTGTGCTGGGAATGGCTTTGTGCGGAGCTTCGAGAGGAGCTGACGGTGCAGAGCTCCCGGAGCTCCTGGGGATGCAAATCAGGCTGGGCATGCCCAGAGCAGAGGTGGGGGGATCCAAACGCCCCTTTTCCCTCGAGCAGGAGTGGTTGCAGGAAGGGGAAAGCACTGCTGTGGATTTCCCTGGAAAGGGATGAGCTCCCGAGGAGCAGAGCTGCAGCCAGGTCGCTGGAGCAGCTGTTGAAGGAGGCAGCCGGGGGAGCAAAATGTGAGGCAAAAAGAAGAATATCCTTGGAGATGGGGTAGCTTGGCCCCGGAGCGGGTGCAGGAAGCCTGTGGGCATTCCCTGCTCCTGGAGGGAAAGGTTCTGTGTGCTGGGAAGAAGCTCAGCTGGAGTGCAGACAAGTATTTTAACACAGTGGGTTGCGGTTCTGTTGTCTCACGTTGTGGTTTCACAAAACATTCACCCTCAATTACTGTTTCTTTGTTGCTGGGGAGCACAAGCAGAGGAGGAAAATAATAATTTAAATTTAACTCTGCTAAATATACATGAGATTTCCTGGGACAAAGAAAAGACTTCTGTAGCTTGAGGGGGTGTTGCTGTGCCAGATTTCAGAGGCTCTACTACAGCCAGTAACATTCTTAGAGCAGCTTAGTTGGAAGCA